TGATATCATTAGTTGAGAAATGTTATTCAAAACGCAAAAGCACTGACGAAATATTTCTTAAAGAAAAGTCGTGTAGAGACGGCCATTTACGCTACGCTTTCAACACATTCGCACGCTAAATTGCAATGCATCTTTCACCCGATTTCACACGCTCTCAGTAGTTATATGCGCGCACAATACCTTCGATCCATCTGCCGCTCGTGAATTAAAGGAAAATGAAAATTGTTGAATAGTGCTCGCTTGTAGTCATATAACCGTACAAAGAAGCGTGTTTCCGGAGCGCTTTTGGGTTGATCTAAGCAGAAAATGGCAAATCTTCGTAGCGGCGGCGAAAGGCCAAAAGCACTGAAAGCTCGCTTACGCTGGTTACCGCCCGGTAAATTGCGCTTAGAGATGTTTTATGTACCACCCGGCTTGTCGTAAGCCGGCACTCTCTCGCTCTCTCATTCCATCTCTCTCTCTCTCTCTCTCTCTCTCTCTCTCTCTCTCTCTTTGGCCGGATATTCCTGTGGGATGCAGAAGAGACGAGCAAAAAGTCAAGAGAAGAGCATGCAAGAGGGATGCTGCTGCCCTGTTCTGTTCCTTTCACTATTCGTACGCCAAAAACACGTTGATTTCTAAGACTGAAACCACATTGCGAGCAACATCCTATGTTGCTTCGTAATTTCTCTCAACTGCGATAGAAAGAGGTGCTTGGAAATTGTACGACAAATTTGGTTACTTTACTGTAGATTGCGTCGATTGTTCCAAGGGACGTGAAAATCGCGTCAAGACTTTAGTCTAATCTCAGACTGCTTGAAGCTGTGTACTTACTCGCAGACGTCGCAGACAATCTTTGTTCCGAAGTTACATTTATTACATTAGGAGTTTTCATTAATTTATTGTATGTAAAATCTGAGTTTTACATTAGTTGTTGTGTGAATGTTCTAAATTATTATTATTATTATTATTAATTATTTATTTTATTATTAAAGTATTATTTTAGATTGAGTTTATTTGAGATTTTAGCCGAATAAAGCGCTTTCTTCTTTTTATTGCGTCTCATTTAATTGAGAAAAAAAACAAAAGAGGACAAATACCGAAGTTTTATCCATAAATCATCGCAAAGGCATGCATTTATTACGTCATGTTACAAAAACAAAAGAATATTTTAGATTTTATTTCAGAATCAACAATTATTAATGTGCAATCATAAGTAGCGTGAGCGCGCGCGCACACACACAGTAATCATAATCCATTTATTTATCATATTACATGTTTCGCTGTAATAGAACACGACATGATAACGCGTTGAGCACGTGATGTTCTTACTTTCATAATCTCGGTTGCAAGCCGAGAGTTCGAAACTATAAGATTTTCGTAGCTAAGTTACGAAGGTTTCTGACCCCCACGGGGCAAAACGTAGGAGAGCTGGCGGATATTTAATTTTCCCCGGCGGAAGTATGCGGCAGATATAAAAGGCGTGAAACGATAACCACGGCTGAGGGAGGAAAAGAGAGAGAAAGAGAGAAATATGGACAATAAAAGCGACGTAAAGGGATACGCGAGCGTATTTCTAATTTATACTTGGAACTCTCTTCTTATCCCGGCTCTTAAGCCCGCAAAAATTACAGGCAGCTTTCAAGCGATTGCTATCAGTTTTAGATAGTCTTTAAATTTGAAAATATGTCTATTTTTTTAAAGAATACCAGCGCTTCACCGAGTGCTATTAAAGCGAGTTTGTATGGTTTTTGAATATTCTTTAAGAATTATCATATTATTTTTATTCATTATTTTTTTAATTGTGATTTTAAACAAATTAATTGGAAATGCTGTCTACTGGTTATTACGGGATATAAGAATCTTCTTGGAATGCGGAAAATATTATCAGATATAAGAATATTTAATAAAGTTATTTAATAAACTTGTGATATTTTTTTTGGAAAAAATATACATTTTCAACACTGACCTTATCTTCTCGCAAAACATCTTACGTAAATGGATACATTTTTTATTGCAACTAGTATCGGAATGTTTTATAAACACGTCATTTGATGTGATCGCCACATATCATATACGTATATTTTATACAAGATCATCTCGTAAGGGATCGAGTACACGCCTGCGGGCAGATATGAAACTTTGAGACCACCTGTTCCTTTTTTTTCAAGTAAGAAATTTGAGAGAAACTCAAGTAGCGGTTCAAAAAAGGAAAACGACACAAGTTTGATTAACGTATGGCGCGGATCGGAAGATCGACCCTTATCAGTTTAATATCCAGAACTTTGCTTATCCAAGCGTCTCCCTTTCATGCGGAAGGATCACGTCACTCTAGATCCGTGGTGGTTTCCAGAAGGATGCGACGGGGGAATAATTAATGAGAGGGGTGAGAGCATCCTCTTCCCGGATAGAACATACGTTTAACGATCCCCCCGTCGCTGGGGCTGGATGAGGCTGGCCCCGATAGCGGAGTCAGAAGGGATGCCTTGTAGGTGCGCTGGCCGGAGGCACGTACTTCTATAATTGTTGGGGTGGCTCGGAGACAACCTTTAACGGCCATCTCGTACGCCACCCCCCTTGGGCGCGGGAAGACTTAATGCGTTTTTCCAATTCGATCGTTATACGTGCGCAATCCCTATCGATTCTAAGCGATACCAAGTGTCGCATCGACTTGAAGCATTTGAGAGACTCGATTTTCGAGGGGATGATTCGCCTAGTGAGATTTCCCTCGAGTTAAGGAGAATTCTTATTTGGCACTGAATTTATGGAGAGCGTCTTCCCTTTTAGTGAGAGAGGGGGAGGGGGAGGAGAGAGAGAGAAAGACACTGCGCGAATTACGATTGAACGAGATGAAGATTGAAATCGTTTTGCAACCTATGTGATAATACTTGTCCGCGGGAAATGAGAAGAAATGACGGGGAGGGAAAAATCGCAAGAAGACATTTAGAATAAGGAAAATTGAGATAGATGGATAGATGAAAAGTTTAAGAGGAATCAGACTCCTGAAGCAAGATGAGTCTGTGGCTACTGGCCAAACTTAATATACAAACTAGTCCATGCAACCCAAGCACTTTGAAACAATTCCAATCTTCGTCAAACTTGATGACGGAAAAAGTAGATTGAGCACCAAAATAAAAAGATCAGATATAAATCATATAAAATTGCAAAAACCAAATACCCGTTTTTCGTGTTATGTATCTCAGTTGCGACTATACATATTTGAAATGTAAAAATATCATATCCAAAAATATTTAACTTAAAAAAGAAGAAAAATATTTATAGAATTAGGATTTCAATTTATTTTTGTATATATGAAGACATAGAATTTTGTTATAAATTTAGTAATTTCTATAAAGCATTCTCCAGTGATATAAAGCCTAGTCATCACGACACGTTAATCACACGATCCACAAAATTCAAAAAGTTAAACCGCGAAATCCGTTTATTATCGCGCTTTAATAGGCGGCGTTGTAAACCGTGGAAATGTAATACCTCGTTTGTAATGCTATACACGCTGATGTGTGTATGTACCAACGGCTACGACTAATTTCAGATTACACTGAAATTTTGATGTAACGACGCGGTAATTCACTTATCACCACAGCGACGTGCTTGATCGACCAACAATCGACGACGACGTCGATAGAATGGAATATTTATATGCGACACGAAGTGCGACAATATTTAACGTTTATGTAGACAAAACGTTACGCATTACACGCGTGTTTATGCAGGAAGCATTGTAACAATGGGCAGTCGAACCGATCATCGACGCATTACACATCTATGCGGCCACGTACAAGTCATTGTTGAACACGAAATATTTCCGGTAACAATAGGATGACAGCTGAAACGGCCGGAAGCGAACATCGCTTTTTAAAGCGAATCAGACGGCAGTACAGGGGTTAATGACGGACGACATAATTGATCAAATAAATGGATAGTTGGGTACCGATTAACCGAGAGTCGATTAATCGCGCTACCGACTAATTGCCGTCATTTGATGAATTGAGGCCGACCGGAACTGATCGTTCCCGTGCAGTCGCTTTGTCCCGATTCCAAAACATATGTTCCGGAAATATCTGCAGCGGTAATATTTTCGTTTCAAATTGTATGATTTGAAGCAGCGATGTAGGTTGCTTTTACAGAAAAACAAATCAACAATATGGATACGCTGGTGGTCTTACATTATTATCAATTTTATTTTTTAATAAATATCTTGGTTGGAACAAAAAATCGGCTTAAAAATATAAATTAGTTAGTTTATTAATAGTGTATTTAGCTGTATTAGTATATTCATCGATGGATGAAACGTTTTGTCGACGGATAATTTATAATAAATGGTGCATCAGCGGGAGATTAACATACTTCTCAGCTAAGAATGTTGCACAATTTTGTAAAAAATGGCATAATATATCAATGTCTGAAGCTTCTTATCACTCAAAAAAATGATCTTGCAATAATAGCTGAAATTTTCTAGGTGTAAAAAATTAACTAAAACAGATAAATGATTAGCAACTGTTGTGATATTGCATATGTAATTACTTAATCAGTTTAGATGACAGAAACAGAATATATATCTGTATTGTTTGTGAACTTTAAAAAGAAAGTTTCTCTAAAGCGCCTATCTATATAAGATCAATCACGTGTTCGATTATGCAATGAATAACATTTAGCAATGGTACCTAAATTTTTCAGATGCTATTGCTAGAACATTACTGCTATAAATTCTATATGTGACAAACAATGTTTTCACAGATACGAAAAATAGCGATACATTCTTGTTGCGATATCTAGAAATCTAACTACATCAGCGAAATATTTTTTTGAGTGATTGCAATTAATGCATAAACGCAATCTATCGCTGTCTATGCGCATTTCACAGCTTTTTGTGGAATGATAATGTTTTCCTAAGAAAACAGAAACGCAATTGGAATAATCGAATCAATTATTCGGATCGGTAAATTGATGATCGGATTTCGGGTGGATGAAGTCTAATCGGGTATTCACTTTGCTTGCAGGTTTCCTGGATACGTAAGAGGGATTTGCATATCCTGACGTCATCGATCCATGCTTACACGGGAGACGCAAGATTTTCCGTTAAGCACCCCGAAGCATCCGACGAATGGACGCTGAAGATCGCTTACGTTCAACCGCGGGACGCCGGGGTTTACGAATGCCAGGTTAACACCGAGCCGAAAATGAACTTAGCCTTCATGTTAAAAGTCGAAGGTAAAATCAAAGGTCGTAAGTAAGGTCGTAAGAAATCTGCCAGATAACCCTTTCATGGAATTCCCAATCGAAAAAGGTATATATATCAATTTTTATCGCAAGAAAGAGAGAAAATAAGTGTGTGTCTATCTGCTATCTATTTAAAGATAGATTCATTTACTTTTATCTTCTAATGTTGCAAAATATACCGAATTAGTTCAATTCCCACGTAAAATTTTAGTGCACTGAGTTAAAAGATCAAGTGGAAGACTGTGAAAGGGTTTTAGATTAGATCTCGTAATGACTCTATGCCGCTGTAAATATTTTGCGTAATTTACGATAGATGAAGGAATACGTAAGCGCTTTCGTAAGTGTCTATCACCTGACTGGTCAGGAAAGACACTGCTGGATACTCGAATACGCACCAGCATGATCAAAGTGATTAATGCTTTCGCTTGCATGTCTGTCACGTGAAGAGTCTCTTCAAGTATCGATTAGCTTTGTTGCATCTACTTCTCTAATCGAGTAATCGCATAACATCGCAGTTACTTTGATTATCAGCGCTCCGCATCGATTTCGTCTTTCAATACATAAAACACTTGTATGTGTAATATATACAATCATTTAAATGAAAAATAGTGCCCCGACGATTGAAAAAAAGCATCTACTTTGACGCATTTTTTATCAAACTGATAAACAACAGATTACACAATCTGTTATATTATATAAACATTATCGCCATGAAATATTTAAACGTGCATTTAGATAGATCTTGGGAAATAATCATAATTTAAATATTTTTCGAATTTCGCAATTTTTTGTTGCCGTTGAAAAAGATTTGCAAGAGATTTCAAAAAGCAATCGCTCAAAATCACTATGTTTCAATGTAATTCCGTTACATTAAGGTGAAAATGAAGAGATCAAAAGCTTTTTTTTTCGCGCGCGCAATCTCGACGATATATTACAGAGAAATGGATAGTGGAAAGTAAACGGAAAGCGATAAACAACTTGGTTGACAATATTCTTTCTGCCCGAAGTCTCGCAGGCATACGTGGTCCATATATATACCGGTAGTGCTTTCGACGTTAGTTCGATTCCCAGCCCCCGAAACAATAGATCTCGACGAAATCGATTAACTCGATATCTTTTCTGTCCTCCCATTCCAGAAAGTGCCCCTGTCCCTGCCACCACCACACCGAACGCCATTCACCGGACGTTCAACTCAGGTTAGACTCACGCAAGAACAGATTCCTTTTCCAAACTGTTGAATTTGCTAGCGGCTAGAAGTTTTATTTGCGACGTTTAGTTGTGTGCTATAACAGAGTGCATGGATGTATATAGCACAAATTAACGGCCAGGCCCGGTGGGTTTCGTTCGCCAATGAGATCGTAGCGCGAAGAGGGTGAAACAGACAGCCCTTAAGCGTCGTTACGTGAAACATCCGAGACTGTCGGCGAGTATTCTTTCTTTTTTTTGCAAGTTGACGTTAACGCCTGCTAATTTGCCGCCGTAATACTGCAAGTTCGTAAATATACGAAGCGTTAAATATTCAGTGAACCATGCACGAGGATCATTTTTAAAACTGTGGAAACTCGGAACTGTGAACGTAACGAGAATGATGCGAACATTTCTTCTGCATCATTCAAACGGCTTTCAGTTTACTTAGATTTGTAGATTTAGACTTGTAGCTAATGATTGTAGTTAATGATTAGCGATAGATTATCTATGCAAAGTTTAGTATCTGATTTAGAAAATTTAGGATTGTCCTTAGATCAATTGTACACACATGACTTTGCATGGCTCGTGTGTTTTTTAAAGTAAAATTGCAGCAAAGAGATTCAAGTGTATATAACAAGTAAGTACTGTTAGCGTAACTGAATACGTCTTTTGTTGAAGATCGTTGTTAATATTAACGAATCTCACTATGTTTTGTGATTTTTGTGCACTACTTTCTTCGTTATATGTATATTTTTTTACTCATTTTAGAATATATTGCCGTTTTTTCAATTATGCATATAGCACATTTTTATAAAATTTAATTTATTACATATCTAAGTTGTTTTATTTATTACTCTATAAAAGTTTTTTCGCTCAATTTTGCTTCTCTAACTTATCCCGTCAGTTGATATTGAAATATCGTCGATTATAATTTGAAGAGACGAGTGACTTTTAAGACGAGTTGAAAGTTTAACATGCGAAAACGTGTCGTTTATATTTCTCTAATCGGTAATATCTCTAAACTTCAATGTGAACGACTTCTTCAATACTTCAAGTGGAATCGATAATATTGATATACCTAGCGGAAGACTTTATTCAGACACCATGTAATAATCTAGTCGAATTGATGTCAATGTAGAATTATCCTGTTTTTCTATCCGCCATAATATATATTGACACGGGACGTTAATTACGTGTGTTACAAGCATGCGTTATTACATTTGCGTTTTTTCCTTCAATATCTCATTTTGCCTGTAAGAATTTATTACTAAAAAATGATAAATGTAATTTTTTAAATAATAATATAGAATAGACAATAAGATTTCTTCTCAGACTCAAATCAATACAAAAATTATTTCTACTAATTTTGTATTGAAAATACAAATTCGTGAGCAAGAAAAGAAATTAGAAAATTGATAAAAATGTCAAAAGATGCAGAGAAACATAAAGAACAAAGAATTTTATCAATCAACTATTAATATAAAAGAACTGCAGTAATTTTAATTGTAATAGCGTCATTTACACGTATTAGCATGAGCTATTGTTGTTAAAATATGTTCCCACATAGTTTTATCCAAAAAAAAAAAAAAAAAAAAAGAAAAAATCATTAAATTACACATAGCAATACAAATAAAGACAAAAAAAAAAAAAAATAAAAAATTTTGTCTAGACCACTAGAAATAGCTTCTCGTCCGAACTAGTAAATAAGCTTAGTTGTCGCGAAGACAATAACATTTAAGTCCGACGACGGATAGTTCTATTCGTATATCGATAAAAAGTAAACCCGACTAATTCCCTACGAACCAAACTTACTTACGACCCCGGTTAACCTTTTAAAGTTAGCGCAGGTGGATGCGGATACGGAATATTTAAGCGTACGGTTTCTAACATGTGTTGCAGCTGCTCAGGCAACAATCGTAGGGCCGGAAGATGTATACGTGAAGAAGGGTAGCACAATAAGCCTCATATGCGAAGTTAATGTGCGAAGTACGCCTCCCAGCAGCGTTTCGTGGCATCACGGAGGAGCGGTGGTGGATTTCGACAGTCCCAGGTACAAGCCGCGAGAATGGAGTTCTCAGTTTCGCTCCTCTGCACACTCCTTTCTTATCACATGCACACGCACACACATACACACGTTTCCGCCCCGACATCGCGTTTACCGTTGCTATCGCATAAGCGCGACCGAAGATCCCGACGCATGTTCCTTCGCCTTGAAAAACGAGGAGGAAAGTATTAGCTGCTTTTTCCGGTGGCTACTTTGCGGTATTGCCGATCACAAGCGGCAAGCGTTGGAGTATCCCGCTTTAATCCTTTCGTAGCTCGTCAGTTTGATAAGGTATCGTCTAGAGTTGAAAAAGCAAACGACCCGTGATCCGGCAATTTTGTTCGCAATTCGTTCAGATAACACTTTGTACGAAATAAAAAGAATTATTTTTTGTCTTTTTCACTCTCTGCAGCGACGACGAAATGTGTATTGATGAAGAATAATATAACGTTGCTCGTTAAAAACGTCACGCGGCAAGTTTGTTTTTGTATTTTTGCGTTTATGCGTTCGCAATTATCGCGTCTTTGGCATACGCTATACATCAGCTTTACGGAAAGGCATTCTCGACGTGAATAAAATTTGATTTGTCGGATCTGTTAAAGCGAACGTTTGACAACGTGTTACATATATGACTGCGCTCCTAGCCGACGTTTTGTTCTGCAAGCCGCACTTCCTCCCTGCAGAGAGAACTAATGACAAAGTAGCAATTATGTGTGACGAGAATGGCGTCAAAGTATCTACGATAATTCAGTGTTCACCGCAGGGGCGGGGTTTCCCTGGAGACAGAGAAAACGGACACCGGCACGACGAGCAGACTACTGGTGACACAGGCCAGATTGACCGACAGCGGAAATTACACCTGCATCCCTAGCAACGCGAATCCAGCGAGCGTAATGGTCCACGTGCTGAATGGTAAGCGATTTTTTTGTGACGCCGGACTTATCCGGCGGCCCATCATCCCTCGCCGCGCGACGTAGCCGGTAGCATGGCATCCGGATATTCGGATACTCAGAGCTGCTTTAATGACATATCGCGATGGAAATGTCTGAATATCCGCGGTTGAAATTTTCAGATAACCCCCAGTGCCGGCGACCTCCCATATATCACGAGTATTATCTACCAAGCCGGTTCCGCGCGATGCGATAAGTTGCCGAATTTTCAGCAAATGCATTAATGCGACGAATTTTTATTTCGACAAATGCGACAACGCATTTAATTACTCTCGCTCGGATACATATCTTTATTTGCAAGGACAGCAAGATGACAGGATGCAAATTAAATTACATCGATATTTATACACGAAACTGTAAGACATTTTAATTGGAAATTCACTGCTTTAAAGATCAATTAGTTTCTATTCAGCAAATACGACATGCCGTTTGCAAACCATTCGAGACGCCCACTCGATAAACAAAGTCAGAGGCAAGTTGTCGACAGTTTACGCGTTCCACGTTACAATGTAACTTACTTATGCAAGCAAACTAATAGAATAATAGAAATATCAAGCTGCAAACTGCATATTTTATCTCAACACTGTCGCGTCACCCTAACATCGTTAGGTAGCTTCTGGTAATTTTCTTCATTGTTGCAAAATCGACGAATTATTATGAAATAATAACAAACGTGACAAATTATACAATTCTATTGATTTATTTGTACAAATGCGTACGCAAGAGTTTTCTTGCCTTGTGACTCCATTTATATATATATATATATTCTCTATATACACCATATGCCATCGATATGGTTGGATTTTTCTCTCCTTCGCGTTGCTGCTTTTTTTTTATGCGACGGAGAAGCACGCGCGAGTTGAGTCGGGCTGCCGCGTCATTCGCACGCCCTTCGATAAACGTCGCGTGCACATGCATACTCAAGAGCCGTCGCACGCGGAAAAATCTCCAAGCAGCGGCGTATAAACATTTCCATGTCGGCATTCTTGTAATGCCGCGTTTTTACGTCTACCGCATCACGCGATTCGATCAGAGTTCGCGGTTAACCGCTTGTTTTCGATTAGAGTGCAACTGGATTTGCGTGATATTCGCTTGGGAGGTGTGTGAAAAAATTCGCGCGGCGTCTGCTTTACTTACGAGCAAGTCTCTCAATCAAATATGCAATTACGCAATGATTTGCGTATTTCCAACGCTTCAATATCACATCGATCGTTACTTTTTAAAGACAAATAATAATATTAAAACAAAAAAAACAATTTTTATGTAAAGACATCAATTTTGATGAAAAAAGAATTAGTTTTTTGCTATTTATAAATTGTCAATCTGATATCATACATTATTGGATTCGAATTGTAACATAAATTAACATATATTTGTATATTTGATAAATATTCTCTAAATTAGATAACGTAAATTTGTTCAAGTGCTCTAACATGGAGAGAGAGAGAGAGGAGGGGGAGGAGGGGGAGGAGGGAGGAGGAGGGAGGAGGGGAGGGAGGAGGAAGGGAGGAGGAGGGAGA